TACATGAAATCTATATGAAACTCATTTATGAACTTCATAATATTTTGATTTTTGATGTGAAATATGTATATGTAATGACCTCCTTCTTGAAGGACAGTTAGATTGAGGAGAGTATAATTTAATAGGGCCAGGTTACTGCTCAAAAAGAAATGCCCGCATCAACCTTATTTACTTGGAGGTTGTTTATCCATTTCTCAGAATGACCCAGAGCTCTGTAATTTTCCCTATAATTTTTTCCTATTGGGTGAAGGCATGAGGGCCTTGTACTTGGTCAGAAATCACAAATTCAACTGAAAATGTAAATCTAGAATCACAGATGTACCCAAATCTCTGGTTACGGGCCTGTGGAAATGTATGTTCACACAAGACTGTATCATCACTCTTAGAATCACAAGTCTGTTGTTCTCCATAGAAACCAGTATACACCCTGCCAGCCTGAGGCTTATCCTGGAACTTGTCAGCACCTGATGGTCACCCATGCTTCTTGTCTTTCATTATGGCCCAGCCTTTTTTCCCTTTGTATCCCTAACACCCAAACCAGACACATCCGCCTTGCAAGGACAGCAGGTGAGTCAGCCTTGTGGCTAGGAACACAGAGCTCCGGGGGAAGTGATTTGCTCAGAGGCTGAGGCGGGGCTCTAGGGCTCTGGAGAACTTAGCTCAGGGCTGCGAACACCAGTGGAAAGAGGCCTGTTGAGTCCTAAAACAGATCCCCAGCTTCTAGGCACACTCATTCTTTTGGCGGTGCTGGAAACCAGGGGAGAAACCAATTAGAACCCACTTTTAATTACTTCTCAATAATAATGAGCCTTACACAATGAGTTTTTATAAACCTTGCCCACCTAGATTCTCACCGTGTTTTGTGAACCAGGGATTATTAACCCCATTTGATAAACGAAGAAGCCAACTCATAAAGGACCATGCTTGGAAGGGCCAGGGCAGGGTTTGACCCCCAGGTCGGCCACCCTACCCTCTCGCCCCAAGCAGGACTCTTCAGGATGCAGGGACCTTTGGGAATTGACTGAGTTTCTCCAGGGCCTATGCCTTCCCCTTGAGCATTTCTGTTAAAATAACCCCCCAAGGACTTGCCATCATGGTGCCCTCTGCCATTCCATTAGGTTGAAAATGGCAACTCCAGCATCAGAAACCAGGGCAGCAGGAACAAGCAAAGCCAGCACCCCACCTATATTTACTCTGTGATGAATGGACTAGCTGGGGGCATGGTAGAGCCTGAGGCCTCATGGAGAAGGCTGGCATTCAACACCTTGCTCCTCCCACACTCCTGCTGGGTCTCCCTGGGCTTTGAGGTGACAGGATGCTTACTGTTCAATGGGAAACCAACAAATGAGACCTGAGAAGTTCAGCCACAGTTCACCTTCCCACTTCTCCCAATCTTCAGCACAAGTAACAGACAAGCACCCTCACAAAAGAGAAGGCATTTCGTTTACACTTATAGAGAATTCCATTGCCACAGTCAGCTGTCCACTGCCTGAGGTCAAAAGGCACTGCCGCTCCAATCACTCCCTGGGACAAGAAAGTTGCTGAATCACTCAAATTGCTATTATCTGCATGATTTTGGTAGTGAAATGTGCCTCCTTGGGGCCTCGGAAGATCTTGGAGTTGGCTGTAATGTAATTGAACCTATACGTTCAAACAAGTTATGTTTAGCTGGAAGAACAAATGGGCCCACTCTTTTATCTCACATTCTAAAGTAAACACAGAAAAGACAGCAAATGCATGACGTGCTAAGCTTGGTAGCTGTGAGTTCTGTTTTAATGAGAAGACATGTCCCTTCAACACGGTGCCTTGGCTAATTGGGCCAGACTCTTCATATCTGGGGACACAGGGCTATAGAGAAATAAAAGCTTCCCACTGGTGCATAAAGGCTTGTCCACTCTCTAGCTTCCAACACACCGCTTCCCTCCTCACCTCACCCTGCACAAAAGCAGCACCGCATCAGTCAGCCACCCACCGGCCCATGGAGGGAGACAGGCCCAGCGCTCCACACAAAAGCCTCACAGAAAGAAGTCAGGCCACATCACCATCACTAGCGCACTCAGGTGAAATAACAAGCTGCAATGTCCTTTTCCCCTTTCGCATTTGAATGTAAAAACAGACCAATACCTTGCACATACTGTGCTAAGTGCTCTAGACAGGCATATAGTATTACTGTCTGCAACTCTCCATGGGCCTCCTCGGGTTACCATACATATTAATACGCATACCAGCATTTGAAGAAAGGAAAATAGGGGGGTACTTGGTGATTATTTTTAATCGAATTCATTTGGGAGTTATAAATGCTGGAAATTTAGCCTCTGCTTACTTACAGTAACTGAAGATTGGAACAGCATATGATTTTTGTCCTATTGAATGGCAAACCTCCCTTTTCCACTCAAGAGAAAGTTTTCTTCAGCATACAATGCATGTCAGAGCCAACTGTGAAAATCATTACATTATAAAACTCTGGAATGGGACGGCGGTGACAACCCTCGACGCTTCGCACTCCTTTGAAAGTAATCTCATCTTTACAGCTTCCTACTCAGGAAAAGGAGCTCTGCCTCTCTGTGAAGAGGAGGCTGCAGCCCCTGCTCATTTTTGTAAGAGCCACGGTGACCCAGGAAACAAAGGGCAGTGGGATGGAAGGATTTTGTGGGCATCTGAAACTGCATCTTGCTTCTCTGCCTTTAGCAAGCCATGCTGGCAAGAGTGAGGCTCTGTGGTAACATACGTACATCACCATTTCTGAACTCGTCAGTCATCCACATCACAGAAGGCTTGAAAAGTCTCCTGTCTGTTCTCTAAACACCTGTGGGGCTCTCCAGAAACTAGCTAGTCTCCCTTCTAACCAATCAAACTGGAATTTATTCCCACAGAGACACTCAGTGAGTTACTATTCCAAGGGCCCGAGCAGAAATCTAGAAAAGCTTGGTGAGTCTCTACCTTCTGGGTTTCTGGGATCTATCTCTCCCCATCAGCCTCCTGCATTCTCAGGACCACGTATACAGGGGCTCCGATCATGCACTGCACAAAGGCACTGCAGTACATCCCGCATCACACGATGGACATAGGAGATGGCGTACAGAGGCATGGAGATTCTGGGCCTCCCAACTGGGCCTGAAGTGCAGGCACACGGACGCACAAGGCCGTGAACTCTCGGGAAAGCTAGCGCAAACTCAGTGGCCGCAGCGCACACATGAGGGCTCTCTGACCCAGGCTTGCTCTTTGCATCTTTGCCATCTTGTCTCTCATCTGCTCACCATGATCAGAGCCTCGGTTCTGGCATCACAGGGGGAGAACAGCCATCTCCCTTGGGGGGCACAGGGGAGAGCATGGAGGGGTTTGAACGTGGCAGTTCTCATGTGCACCTGCGCCTCCCACAGGTGCAGGTGTGCTCATAGTCAGGGCTGTGCCCTCTGGACTCTGGGAGGCTCCCTGGAGCAAACCTCAATCATTGTACAATCATACGATTTTTTTTTTTAACTTCAAGACATGGCTTTTTCCCCCCGAATTCACAGCCCTGTGAGTTCTGTTCCCCCTGCCCTTTCCATTCCATGGCTTCTGCGCAGGCCCTCCTTCCCTGCTGGGGCCCCAAACTGAGTCTTAAACCTGGGATACCCTAGAGCTTTTCCCCTGGACAACATGACTGTGCCTACAGCTGTTTATTTCTTGTTTTGCTGCCCTCTCTCTTCCCAACTTTGAAAGCCTACTTCTCTTCCCTCCTGACCTTAGCCAATCCTGTCTTTGTTTCAAAGGCTTCTGTATTTTCAGAGTTGGAGGAGACACTGAAAATCATTGTCTCCCTTGAGGATGGGGAAACCAAGGGGACCCAGCTTATAAGTGACAAACTCATGCTTCTGGCCTCTACTGCTTGGGCTCTTTTCATTTCACCACACAGCTCGCCCCCACCCCCACCCCCTGAATGGTGGGTCACTAGCATCACACAGAGCTGACTGGACCCCTCAGCCGGCAGAAAGTGTCTGAGCGCCGTGCTGAAGACAAGCACAGAAGCATCCACTGACCACCAAACCATGTCAACACCACCCCGCTAACTACTATGAATACACTGGTTCTTTCATGGAGATAAGGCCAAAAGAGGCAAGGAAAAAATCCTTGATCCCCTCGGAAGGCCAAGAATGCATTTTGCACCTTAGAGGGAAAGAACTCATAGTTCGAAAGTTTGCGTAAGGCACCTGGGTACAGAAAGGCTGTCCTCGTGGTCTCCATAAAGGAGACTCATTTCTACTGTGGCCATGTCGTGAGGCAGTCGCCTTGTCCGTGCCTCATCAGGCATGTACATCTGGAACCAGCCACTTCTTTGAAAAGATAAAATGCAGGTGAGTCACCTTTGGCCTAGGAGTCTGGAGACCAGTGGCTCTGATTGGGTCACTGTGCCCAGGTCTTCCTTCTGGGAAATGACACCCCTTCCAACTTTAGGACTCTATAATTCTACTAAAGGAAAAAAAAAAAAATCTGCCTTTGGACAGAACGGCAGGCGACTAAGTAGCAGGCGGAACCACAAGGGGGCCAGAGCCTGAAGCCTGGAGCTAGAGGGCGCCCTTCTCCCTGCAGGCTGCTGGCTGCACTTAACAGCTTTCTTGCTCTCAAACTCCCGGATCAGGGCTGAAATTATACCAGGCATGGGCCAGGCCAGAGGCAACAGGGCATCCCGCAATTGGATGCACCAGGTCTTGGGACCAGGGTCCGTAATCAGTGTACCCGGTACTTCTGTGTTGCCTTTTCAAGGCTGAGATGGAGCCATGCCAATGACAACTGCATGTAACTTCTCTGTTATTTCTGATGCAAAGTGCATACAGGTAGAACCTGTTACCAGGTTGCATCGGTCTAGTCAGGAATTAGACAATTTTGGCTGAAATGAGGCAGGAAAGGTGCCTGAGAGTTGGCTCCCTCCGGCCCGTGGTCTGCAGCCTGGGTCGCCCTCGGCAGGGGGCACAAAGGCGTGTGTGCCTTGGGGTGTGAGTGCAAGGGAGAGGACAACTCACATGGCTCCTTTTGCCTTCTTCATCTCGCACAGACGTAATCACTGTCTCTGCAAAGACCGTTTGTCCAGTCTGGTTGTTGGTGATCTACAATAAAACAAGCACAGTGAATGTGAAATAGAAGGAATTCTTGGAAAATCCTATGACTTTTTTCCTCCCTATTTTCTGATGCAGGGGCATCCAGCCAAGCAGACAGACTGCCCATGCCACTCTGTCTGAGCTTCAGCAGAGCCCCCCGATGCATGGCTTCCCCTCTGAGCAGTGATAATAGATGTAACAGAGCCCCCTCACAGCGTTGCTGTATGGAGGGATGAGGCAGTCTGTGTAAAGCACTCTGCACAGAGCCGGTCACCTCGCAAATATTCAGCGCTAGCTACTTTTATTCTTATGGCGCATCACTTGAAACTCACGGTAAACTCTCTTTTCAACAGTTACAGGTCTGGGTGTCTAATTGAACATCTTTCATGAGAAGCAAGCAGGTTTGGGCTACAGCTGCCCCACTCTTGATTCGGGCGAGCTGTTTTGTTTCATCAGGAAAGTACTGAGACTTAGCTCAATGAAGGACACAGATCAAAGAAAGACACCCTAGGATTAATAAAAGCATCCCGCAGATCAATGGAGATGGCTCTCAGATCAATAAAGGGGGCAGTTAGAGCAATGAAGGACCCACTCAGAACAATGAAGGAAGCACTCAGGTCAACTAAACTAGAGTCTCTGGAGATGGACCGATGCCTTGTTAGTTTATAAAGCTCCCTAGATGATTCCAGTGTGTAGTCATGTTTGAGAACTAGATCAAAGCTCTGGAGAGCTCTAAACACTACCCAATATCAATTATATAAAACCTCTGAGGACTGGGCTGGGGTTGGTTAAATTTTATAGGCTCCCCATGTCATTCTGATGCACACTGAGAATTTAAAACCACTGGTATAATATAAAGCTTGCCCTCCAGAGAATTACAATCAAGAGAGGGGGAAAAAATGACTTATGTGTGAAACTGTTGAGAAGTACAAGAACGTCCATGTTTGAATGTCAAAAAAAATGAATAAAAGACAAGGAGTGGTAAGAAAATATAAGTACTAACTATTTAGTGATAAATACAAATAATTTGTATTTTTTTAAAAAGCGCTTCAGTACAAGGAGAGAGTTGGCCCAGCGTTCCCCTCCGTTGTCTGCCCCTGATTCTGTGAGCAGAAGCAGGCACCTCAGAGCTGAGCCTTCGAATCCTGACCTGGGACCCAGGCCATCACGGCCCCCATCAAAGGCCACAGCGAATGTTTACGTTGATAATGAACAGCAGAGACACTGCTGATGCAAGAGCTGGGGGATCTGTGATCTTTGAGCCTTGGCTCAGCTGCCAACAACCGTCTGCTATGTAACCAGGAACAAGTCATTTCCCCTTCTCTGATTCACAATTTACTCATTTCTAGGTGACCTTTAAAGTTCCTGCCAGCTCTAATATCACAGGCACCTGCAGCCAGAACAAAGTGGAAACTCTCAGCTTAATTTATGGTAGTGGATCAAATTCCATTTCTAAGGAGTTAAGAATCATGTCTTCATCCACATGCTTTAAAATTTTTGTCTAAATAATTCCTCTCCCCAGCAAAGAGATGATGTCTTCTCCCTACATTCCAAATTTTAACAGGATTAACCACTGTTATATATTTTTTTAAATTCTACAGTCTTACACATACAAGTTGTAGGACTTCTCAGAGCTTTTATTATACTAACGTGGATTTTTGTATCTGTATGAGGAGAGTCTATACAATGTTTCCAGATATGTCTCCCCACCACTGAGCCCCTTTCATGAAGCATTGCACAGGACAGGGCTCCTAGGAACCCACTCGAGAACTACTATACCATGCTGATAACATAACTTTAATATAATAACAACTGTAATAATAAAAACAACTTGCTGTTGCATAGTGCTTTATAGTTTACAATGGACTCTCATATACTTTAGGGCATTTGACCTTTACAATACTGTAATGTAAATGCTGAAACTCCTATTTCGTAAGTGTGGTCAGCGAGGGTCAGGACATTTAAATCATTTTTCGATATCACAATAGTTACTGAGAGGGCTCACACTTAAATATCCTGACATCTACTAGGAGCAACTTTAAAAAGTAGCCAAAATTATTTACTAATTATTGTCAGAAAGGATGACTTAATATTGATTTTGATAATAAAACAATCACTTGTGGAAACGTTCTCCAGTCTTCAGATGAGAAATGCGAAAAGATTCTGTTCAGCAGGCGTCTCATGCATTTATCTGGGGGAGGGGTACACTCTGGAGCTGAGCCCATCAGTACGCAGTGGGAGAAGAGCCATACACAAAGGCTGCTTTACAGTCAAGGCAATGGCCCGTGAAAATTAACCCCTTTGTGCTTTATGGCACAGCAATGCTATTGTTTCAATCGAGTCATTACCTGAGCACTTGAATGAGAGTAAGGCTGTTTTGTGAGAGCTGTCATGGCCTTGCATCTAGGAGCGGAAATTAGATCTGAGGTCAAGCTCCTTGATGGTCGCAAGAGACTGGCAACTCGACAGCCTCTCACAATGATCCTGAATGTCTGCACAGCAGACTCTCTTCAAGATAACACAGGCTTGTGTAGCTTGCTCTCAAAGGCCTGTCAAAATCTCGGAGACATCTCACCACAGAAGTAGGCTAACTGTGTTCCTCTAGATTTGCAGTGTTTTCTTCCTCAAGTCAGATCTAGAATGAAACTGCTTGTTTTTCATGCAAGATATTAGACCAAGAGACAGGTGGTATGTTGGAAAAACTCTGCTATAGAATTTTAAATGGATAACCAGCAAACAAGATACTTAATCTTGTGGCAACTCAGGTTTTCTCTTCTGCAGACAGAGTCGATCACATTTGAGTTCTTCCTAAGGAAACAGTACCACAGACTCCAAAACTCTATTTCAACTCTACTGACACATATATAAAAACCTATGAGATCAACTCCCCAGTCCAATATTAGGCAAGTACAGTACCTCTCTGTAAACCCTTTGCTTCCTTTTTTCCAGTAACAAAAAATCCCTGAACATTCTTTTGCAATTGGACCGGCAGGAAGCCCAGAGTGAAATGTATTGCTTAAATGCAAAAGCAACTTAGGTTTTTGATATGTATCTTTCCCCTTTAAACAGTTCCTTCACTCCCTCTGGTTTGTAATTTGTGTTGTACCATCCTCATTTGTATTTTTGGCTTGTGTATCAAATAGGTAAACAAAATCTTAGTTCTGGGATGGGACAGGGAGCTACAGGAAGAAGGAAGTGCAGGCCATAGCGGCCCTTACCTTGTGAATTTCTCGGTGCACGTGGATGGTGTTATTTCCAACCTTGGTTTCTGTGTTGGACTCATTGTGATAGCTGGGAGGAAGGTCTGCCAGGTTCACTTCTGATGATGTTTTAGCAGCAGCTTCTTCTGCCTCCATCTATTAAATGAATAAATTAAATGAGCAAAATTGTTTTCTCTTTATACAAGTCAGAGTCCATTAGGAAAAAAAAAAAAACCTATGGGGATGTAATGTACAGTGTAAGAAATATAGTCAATAATACTGTAGTAACTATGTATGGTGTCGGTTGGGTACTGGAAATATCAGAGGGAACACTTTGTAAAGAATATGATTGCCTAACCACTATGCGTACACCTGAAACTAATATAAAATTATACTGAATGTAAACTGTAATAAAATTTTTTTTCTTGTTTCATTGACTTTATTGGGATTACATTAGTTAATAAATTATATAAATGAATTCTGTAAGACATCATCTACATATTATATTGTGCATTCACCACCCTAAGTCATATCTCTTTCCATAACTATTTATGCCCCCTTTACCTTCCACATCATGAAATAGTTGAGCACGAAGAAATTCTAGAGGCACAAAGGCTAAAATAGTCATAAGAGGACTTGGTCGGTGAGTGCTGTGTTTGACCCTGGGATGACTGCTGAGACGTGTAAACAGGATCGCTGGCTTCGTCATCATCATCGTCGTCATCATCACTATAGCCTTCATGTTTGGACACAAGCTTTGTGTGAGCCATTGCACCGGACACCTACCATGTCTCCTTGAATATTCACAGTGACCCTATGAGGAAGTTATTCCCCTCATTTTGCAGATGAAGAAAACAAGGTTGAGAGAGGTCAGGGAACCTGCCTTTGGTCATCACATTGTTAGTAAGTGGCAAAGCTCGAATTGGAACACAGGTCAGTCTGTCTGCAAACTATGTGCTCTCCCAGTAGATGATTCTGCCTGAGTGGCTTATGCTTTTATGAGGGGGATAGAAGAGCCTCACACAAACTAGTCTGAGGATAATTATGATGGTCTCTAGAAGCAAGTAAGGGGTTCCAAGAAGAGAGGAGAAAGGGTTCTAGGAGCAGGAGGAGGCATAACTAGGTTGGTCTCAAAAATGAGTAGGAATTGGACAGAGAGGAACCTAAAGACAGCAAAGTTGTGGCAGCCTGGACCGCAGTGGTGTGTGCTGAGAGCTCCCAGGGGGTCCATGCTGGTCACAGGGTACGGGGTGGATGATGAAGCAGAGAATGTCCAATGGGCAGATCCAGGGGGGCAGTTCTAAAGAAGAGGCCATTGTCCTGACTCTCAGCCAGGAGGGTACAGCAGTCATGCCCCAAACTTTCAATATATATGAGTATATGTGGATCCCTCGCCAGACTTGCCACATTAGAACTTCTGAGGATGGGACTGCAGATATCAATGAGCTTCTCAGGTGATTCTAGGGTCCTCCCTCCCTCCCACTTGCTCCCAGGTAAGAACCTCTGCTCCAGGTCATAATGGGAAGTTACAGCAAGTTCTGGAGACCAGTTGGGAAATCATATAGAGTCCAGGGATAGGAGAGAATACAGAGGACTGGCTAGAACCAGGTCTGGGGGTAGGAAGTTGTGGCTGGGGAGGGGACTTCTAGGTAGTAAAGGCTCCAACTGTGTCTAGAAGGACAGACCAAGCCACTGGGAGCTGGCCCCAGGATTAGGCAAAAGGTTGCCCCCAGGATCTACCGGGGAGAGCACAGCAGAAAGTGCCAGGTTTCTGGCGTCAGGTTAGGTGGGGCCAAGACCCGGCTCTGCCACAAAGCAGCTGAGTGACTTTGCACAAGACAACAAATGGCTTCTAAACCTCAGCTTTCTTTTTTATAAAATGGGCATGACTGTACTTTGCTGAGCAGATGCAAGAATTAAGATCCCAAAATCCAAGTGCTTGGTACAATATTTGCCAACAATCAAAGGTGTCATAAATAGCTACAAGTACTTTCACAATACTGCCCTTTAAGAAAGCAGTTTCAGAAGCTAGTTTGCCAGGGAATATTTGGGTAGACGTGGAAGAGCAGATATCTATCATGTGTTTGAAGAGTTTGCTAACAAATGGAGAAGAAATGGAGTGGATTTAAGAAAAGAGACAAAGACAGGCAAGAAAACAACTTCATTTTTTTTGTAAGCGAGAGAGCCCTGGCATGTTTAGGTAGAGCTGGCGAAGAGTAGGGACTGCAGATGCTAAAGAGGCGACTACCCAGGAGAGATGGGAATGTTTTAATGTTTTTAACATTCCCATGGGAATCTGAATCCTCCAGTCTGGCTTTCAAATAACTGACAAGTTTACAAATCTAGAGTTTGCTCTGGGCTGAGCAGATAGGCTTTTCATAAAACCTCCCTCTCAACCAGTGGTTATTTCAACAGAATGAGCTAACAGTTCTTTCTCGGCACCATGAACTAAAAGTACAGTTTACAATGGAAATTTCAACCACAACTATTATTGCCACTAGCAAGAAAAACTTAAGCAATAGGACTTGTTTCATAGAGGAGGAATGTGAATGTTATTTAAAATGGCGTTTATGGTAGGTGGAATCTGTGTGTTTGTTGAAAGAGTACAGTAGGAAAAACTGGCGAGATAAATCCAGGCTTGGTATTGTGGTCCTTCCTAGGAACATTCTCAAATATGCCAGTTACAGACAAGGCAGTAGGTGTGAAGTGGCTTTATCCTCAAAATACATTTATCGGTAACATATAGAATAAGACAAGAAATCAGGAACAGCCTGGATTGAACCACTTGAAGATTTGACTCCCCCAATAATGATCCTATGAGTAAAGTTAACTTTGTCTTTCCCCCTTAGAGAAATCAACAGCTTGAGTCAGCTGCAATATTTAAAATGTCAGGAAGTCACTTGAAAGCAGATTCATGATGCAACTATGTAAACACTTAATACATTTGGCCCAGTCCTTTTTGGTTCTTACCCAGGAGCAACTGTCCTGTGTTTATGAGATACAAGGGGTCTTTTGGCAGTCTCTTTGAAAAGACAATTAATACAAATAGCCACAATCTCTTGGGAATCTCTTATATATTGGACACTGGTGGTTCTTTGTTATTAATCATACTAGCCTGATAATATGACATACTAGTACTGTTTATATGGTGATAATAATAGCCATTATTAATCAATAACAAACAATGTCCTTAATCCTTACAACCACTTCATTAGGGGCTGACCTATACCAATTAAACTTAACCCCGTTTTAGAAGGTCAGGTGACTTGCTTTACTTGCATCCTCCCATCTAATTCTCTCCTTTACCCTGAGGGTAGACATTTCCTCTATTTCAGAACCTAGATGCCACCACCAGTAAGTGGCACGGCTGGGATAGAATAAAGGAAGGTTGGACCTCAGGGCCCGTTCTCCTGTTACTCAGGTGTTCAGCCTCTCTCTCAACCTGTCCTCACTGCTAGCGAGGACACTCTTTGGGAAACAACCACTGAGTGGGGTAGCAGTGGCAGCCGATGTCTCCCCTGGTGGCAAACTTCATTTAGCCCATTTTTATAAGTTAAAGAGAGCCACATCTGGAGGGAGGAAGGCTGGGGCCCAGGCAGGGCCAACGGGGACAACTCCCATAGAGCAGGCCCTGCCGGGCCCCAAGCTGCTTTGATCAATGAAGAGACTGAAGAGTCCCTGCTGCTCCCTCACCAGGAGTTCCCATTGGAGGACCATGCTGCGTGGCCAAGAACACACTGAATACAAACATGGCGGTGACCTAGTCAGTGTCACTGAGAACCTGTGTGCAGGAGGGAAAACCCTGGAATCCAGAGAAGACGAGAGAGATCATGAGCTCAATCTAATTTGAAAGTGCAGAATTAACAGGCAGTGGGGGCCTGGCTCCCCTCCCTCTTTAATTGCTCCGTGTCATGATTCTTGTGTTTTCACAGGTGGTAGAAAGGCCATCGCTTTGGAATCTGCCCCATGCAGTGAATGTTCAGGTACAGCTGCCCGTGCAACTGCCTCCCAATCCAGTGTCCCCTTCCACTGAAAACTCCAGGTTGACTGTTATAGGAGAAAGGGGATAGATCCCCCAAACTGCATAGATAGGGGTGAGGGGAGAAAGCAACTTCTCTTGGTAGACCAGAGCCAGCACTGGAAGCTTTGCCCAAATGGATGTGAAGACACCTGACCCCTCAGCCTGCACATCTAGTCTCTTGCTAACTCCTTCTCTCCGAAGAGAGGCTGTAGCCAGCGCTGGGCCTAACAGTGACTATGGCAACCAACCCCAGGAACCAGGGATAGCTCCCCACACCGGGGCTGGGAGAGCTGGGCCAGCTGCACGTCCTGGCCTGGCAGCCCTGGCAACGTTGTATACCCACCACAGGGGGTGCCATCCATAGTGTGTGGACCTGGAGGCTGGGGGGGCGGGGGGAGGATGGAAGGAAGAAGCCAGGCAGTTTTGCCTAGGTACCTGGTATCTGATACTATCAGCTGCTATATATTATATGCCTGGTACCCACACATACAGCATTTGACACAGGAAACTGGGATACAGGATGTTAAGGGATTTGTCTAATGTCACACTGCTAGTGAGCAGCAGAAGAGGACCGTTAGCCCAGGACTGACTCCAAAGCATTCTTGGGGTGGAAGTGGAGTTACTTTTCATATCACCCGCCCCGCTCCCACCCCCACCCTCTGATAATTCACACTGCTGGGCCCAGGATTCCGACTGTCTTCTCTGCCTCACATGGCATTGGGGGACATCCAGAGAGATGCCCAGCAAAGCTCAGGGCTCTTGGTCCCCACATGCCATCTTAACTGTGTCTTGGGAAGATGGCACAAGCTCAAAGCCTACTGCACAAGATGGAACTTGAAATGCCTGGAGGTTCCTTAGCCTCTCTGCAAAACCACAACGTTGGAATAGCAGGGGCCTTACAAACATCTGCTTACAACAAGGAGAGGCCAACTGCACACGTGAAGAAAACTGGGTTGTGGCAGGCAGTCTGCAGTCAGGTGGTGACCCAGAGCTGGCTGCCCGTGGGTGGGTCCAGCCAGAGTCTCTCCGGTGGACAGGCTCAGATCCAGATCTTTCGGCAGGGAGGCAGACGAGGTGGGAGTTGGGACCACCCTGCGCTTCCTCCAGATCATTCCGATTCTGCTGCCGGCCCTTCCCAGCCCCTCTGCGAAACCTAGGACCCTACCTAGCTCCGAGCAGTGCTACCTCGCGCTGCCTGGTCTCCCCCGAGCCAGAGCCTTGCACTTCCCAGAACCCTGCGGCGCACCCACCTCCTCCACCGCGCTGCGCAGTTTGTGCTGCGTGTCCTCCATCAGTTCCTCTACCTCGCGGAACATCTCGTTGAGGGTGGCCTCCTCCAGCGGGTAGCTGAGAGCCGGGCCGGGCTCGACGGGAACTGAAGTCGCTGTAGGAGCCGGCGCGGGGGCCGTGGGGACCGCCGCCGCCAGTAGCAGGCACAGAAGGGTGCCCCCGAGCCGCTGCATCTCCGCTCTGCGCCCGTTGCCTCCGCCTGTGTTTCAGAACGCGGTCAGAGCGCGCCGACCACCCTCGCAAGCCTCGCCGCCCCGCCCGGCCGCCCCGGGCACTCCGAATCCAGGTCCGCCCTCCGCGCCTCTCTTCCCCGCACCCACCCCCAAATGCGAAGAAATCGAGTGCCCCTCAGGACGTAGCTCCCTCCGACCGAGCAGCGACGCCTGGATCCAGCCCCGCTCCCCCACGCTCTGATCCCCTCCGCACCCCTATCCTCATCCTCACGCACAGGCTGAGCTCTGCACCCGCTGTTAGTGATGGCCCTCTGCTCTGAGCATCGGAATCCGGGTTCCCTGCTCTAATAGCCCCCAGCTCACCCCACCTCCTGGGTTGAGCGGTTTCGAGCCCTGCCCTCCCCTCGACCAGGTCAGGGCGCAGCTCTAGTGCCGCGACCCTACTCCCACCGCAGCCCTACCCCAGACCCATCTGGGTGGTCGGAGCGCAGGTCCCCACACTTCCCTCTGGTTGGATCCCAATCGAGCGCCCGGCCCCTCACCCACCCAAGCGAGACCAAGCAGAGCCATCCCCATCCCCGCCGCCGCCCCTCACTCACGCGACTGGACGGAGCTGTGCTCCGGCGTGACCTGCCAGGCCTCGCTGGTAGGCCGCCGCGGAGCTGCGGGAGCGGGAGCGGCGCGGTGGGCGGTCCGCGGGTGCAGGAGAGCGGTGGGATGCGGCAGCGCTGGTACCCGAGCGAGCCCGAAGTGGGCCCCGCCCGCCAGCCCGCCGGCCAGGCCCCCGCCCTCGGGAGAAGCCGCGCCCAGCCCGCCACCATTGGCCAGCTCGGCGCCGGCGACCTCACGCCCCAGGCCTGCCTCCCCTGCCTTCGTGATCCAGTCTTACAGGAAGCTTCTCCTCCGAATCCTGGCTGCATCCTACTCCGTTGCCGTCTTTTCCTAGGATTCTTGCGACAGCGTTGTCAGGGGAACGGGAAAAAGGTGTGTTCCTGTGTCCCACCTGGCCCTCTCCAAGCCATCCTCCCCTCAGCGTGTCTCCAAGCAGGATGAAGGGCCGCAGCCTCTCAGTTTGGTGTTCAAGGCCCATCAAAGGTTGACACCGTACTCCAGCCAAGAAAACCCACTTGGAGCTCCCAGAATGGGCCAGGAGACGGTCGGCGAGCTGCTTGAGGGCGGATGCTGAGTGGTTAATGCCAGTCAGCCGCAGCCCTGCTGCCTGGGAGAATCTCAGCTCTGCTTTTCAGGACCTCCTCTACCTGGCCAGGTTACCAGATCAGTCTGCGCTCCGGGGAGCCCGGATGTAAAATGGAGGTTATAGTTGCAAGTGTGCCCCATAGTTAACAAGCATAACGGGTATGGGAAGTATATGGCGCGCCTGGGTTATGTGTTCTCCAACAAAATGGGAACAGAACTGTCTTGTTCACAGCAGTTTCCCCAGTACTTAAAACAGGTGGCACTATTTTTTAAAAAAGCAATTTTAAAACCATGTGAGTGCCTGAAACAGGCATTACTCACATATTTTTTTGGAATAAGCAAGTGTTTCATGTGTCAAACCTCCTCCTATTTCTTCCTGTTACTCTTTCGGGGCGGACATTGTCCCAGCACCACGTGCTTCCCCGTTGCAGCCCTAACTTGCTCTGATCTACCTGGTCCCTGGCCCGTTTCCCTGGAGACACCAGGAGCTCCTGGGAGGCAGGGACTGACTCGCTCACTTTTGTGTCACCAGGGCTGGAGCTGTAATACACACTTGGTCCCTGAAAAATGGGTGCACTGATTATTGTAACAATGGTTATTGATATATCAATACAGGAACACCATCACTGAGCACTCAACGATGTGCCAGGAAGAGGTTTAACTCACTTAAGTCTTAACCTCTAAGGATGGTACTACTACTTCTATCTCCACTGACACTTTCCCAAGGCCATGTAGCTAGTAAGCGGTTTTGAACCTGGGAGTCCGGCTCCGGAGCCCTCACCCCTCACTGCCAGTCTCCTCTGCTACAAACCTGGCCGGGAAGCATTTTGTATAAAGCTGTTGACTGAAGCATTATTTACAAGAGAAAAAAATATGAAAACCATGTATCAGTGTTTTCAAGGAGGAAAATGGATAAACTGGGATTTCTACAAATAATAGAATACAGCAGTTAAAGTAATGAACAATACTTCTAGGCAACCAACATGGATAAATCTCAAAGAAACATAATGTTGAATAGAAAAGCCAATATTCAAAACATATGTACATAATAGTACATTTGCATATGTTAAAAACACACAACAGTGCCTATTATTTAAGGATGCTACAAACAGAGTAAAAAATACAGAAATGGGCGGGCTGCCTCTGAGGTGGAAGGCAAAGGGAGAGATGGGGGCCGTCTTCAGTTGTATCTACAACATTTTATTTCTCTTTAGGAAAGCGAGTGAGCCAGTGCGGAGGAGTGCCGAAGCCCAACCGTCCACGTGTTCACATCTGTTTAGTCATCACTGTTGATTCATTGCATGTGGGTTTATGGGTGTGTTCATTGTATTATTTCTGGTATATCTAACATAGTTGGTGAATATATTGAAACAAAACAAAACCAAAAAAAAGCAAAGGGCAAGCTCCCCACTCCCCACTCACAAAGCAAAACAAAAACCCTCTTACATCCAAATAGACTTTTCTTAGATCTGTTCTTGACTGAAAGGATCCCCCCGCCCTGCCCAGCAGTGGCCTCCATCAGGGTGAGGTGGGAGGCTGGAGTAGGTGGGTCCTCACAAGGCCCAAGTGGAGTGGCGTCTCCCTTCATAAAAGGCCCTCTGTCTGCTTGAATGGCTGGGGGCTTTCCTCCTCAGGGGGTGGACCTGCCAGGCAGCTGGAGCCAGTTAATGGCTCTGGGCAACAGATAAGGCTTATCAGTTCCCTTCCCAGGGAGGGAACGGTGCACAAACAAGGAAACCTCAGCTACCCAGAATTTATAGCCGCTCAGTCAGCATAGGAGACTGTTATGCACTGATTTTTAACATTTTAACCATTTGGAATAATTAATTAAACCAGGGGAGGGTTTATTACACATTTCTCTCTTTTTCTATCCTTTCCGTCTTATATAGACTGGACTGAATGTAGCTTGGAAAAATGTGAAGTGTAGGCTCAGAGATAACATATCTGCATGACTCTTTAGTATCTGTTTTCCCTGCCAGAATGCAAGCCGAGTGAGCTCGCACAGGATGCGAGACGCTTGTCCCTGCAACCATCTCCAGTCCAGCCGGGGCCTGCAGAGAGTTAGCATTTAATAAGGAGATGCCAAATGAGCAAGGCGCCTGCTAGAGGGGGGCATCCTGGCCCACCAGGAGTCTACAGCATGTGAAAAGACAGGGAAGTAAGCAGATAGTTCCAGGACAATAAGATGGAGGAAAAGACAGAGAGAAATTGGCATTAAAGGGAAGAAGGATGAAGAAGTACAAATTGCCAGTTATAAAAATAGTCACAGGGCTGTAAAGTACAGCAGAGAGAATATAGTCAATAGTAGTGTGATAACTATGCATGGTGTCAGGAAGGTACTAGACTTAGTGAGATGATTAGCTGGTAAGGTATATAAATACCTAATCACTATGATGTGCACTTGAAACTACTATAATATTGTACACTGATGTAGGTGAAACAAATTTTAAAAATAAAATTAAAAAAAGAGAAAATAATAAAAGCTAATTGTTTCCAGAATGCCTACGGGGTTGTTCATCCCTGGCCCAATTAACTTCAGCGGGAGTAGGGTATCATGTGGTATCCACATGGATATCTCTCAATCTACATTTACTTTAAAAAAATATTCTCACCTTAGAATATGTTTACTGATTTGAGAGAGAGATGGGAGGGGGGAGAAAGAGAGAGAAATATTAATTGGTTGCCTCCTATACATGCCCCCGATGGGGAATCAAACCTGAAACCTAGGTACATGCCCTAACTGGAAAGAGATCAAACTCACAACATTTTGGTCTGTGGAATAACACTCCAACCAACTGAGCCACCCCATCAGGGCCTACATTTACTTCGATTGGACCGGAGATTGGATTCTTTCTTGACTCATCAGATTCTTTCTTGGATTTTGAGACTGGAGACTCCATTTTGCTGCTTGAAGACAAAAGCCAATATGAAGAGAGAAAGAGAGAGAGGAAATGAGGTGGAGGGACATTTAGAGAAATGAGATTCCAGGAGCCTGAGAAGGGGAGTGATGGGGAAGAAGAGAGTAGCTGCTTCCTTCCATGATGTCATTCTGGTTCTCGGTTGTATTCTTTTATGAATCTGAGACCCAGCTGCACCATCTGCCCTTGGACTCTGTGAGACATTTTTGGATTCTTCCCGTTCTGTTTGAGCTAGGTTTAGAAACTTTCTGTTACAGGCTGCTGAACTGCCTGGGCAATATTTAAACAAGGCAATCCTTTTCAAGGAAGGCTTGCATTAGAGAAGATTACTACCCCTCCCTGAGACGCATGGATTAGAAACACAGGGACATGCCAGCAAAAGCCCTATTCCCCTTTGTAAGAGGACCCTGACCCAGTGCCAGCCACCAATTTCATCGAGCCTTCCCAGGTCCTGCCTGGAACTTGTGATTGTTCTGATGAAACGGGTGCCAAGATTTTTCTGAATGGAAACTCCATCTGGCTTTGGAAAGAGTTTTCACGTGGATTCAGGGTTTCCATGAGTAACAGCCACTGAAGATCCAAAACACACATTTACTTTGCCAAGTTTCCGTGGGTGGGTGGGTGAACAAAAGCGACCCAGAAGACCATATTCCTGACCATCACCCTTGGAACGCAGCACAGGAGGGCTGAGCCCCGAGCCCAGCTGTCTTATTTATTTATTTATTTAGCAGGTGGATTCTTGCTCTGTACTGTATATTCCTGCATGTGTGTCTCAAGTGGAGGAAGCCGAGTAAGGAAAAAGAGAATTTTGGTGGAGCCAGAGCCAAAAGAGGAAAAGCAAAGAATTACTGTTGTTAAGCAGCTATGGAGGAAGAATGTCTAGAAATGTGTTTCTACCTAATCCTCCCCATTGCTGAGGGGCAGAGTGATGTGTGTATTCCTTCCCTGGAGCAGCTTCCAATGTCGGGTATAGCAGAATCCCCTGGGAAGCTTGCTAAATAATGCAGATGCCTGGGTGCCCTCTGGAGATGCTGGCTCCGTAAGCAGGAGGTGGGCCCCCTTGGGCTGCATTTTGGAACAGTCCTTGCCGAGGATTCTGTTATCGTCAGACCTCGATGAAAAGCTCTCCTCCCGTCCCATCAGCCTGTCCCCCCATCTGCGGGACAGTGCGGTCAGGCCAGCAGGGCTTGCCTTCCCACGGGTATGCTTGGAAGGCTGCTGGTGTAGTGGAAAGAAGGCTAGATAATCCTGGGTTTAGGTTCTGGCTCTGATCCCAGCTGCCACGACCTGGACATCCCAGGGTTCTCTAGCGTGTGGCATGTTAGTGCCCAGACCACAGGGCTCTTAGCCTGCACCTGCTGTCATGAGGAAGATAATCTGAGGAGTCCCCAAAAGATGAACTTGTAAATCAGAGATTCAGCCCCGGTTTCCAGTCGCCGTCATGACTATTATTGCCAAGATAGTTATGCCATCTTAAAAATAATGCGTTACGATTTAATAAGCGCTGTTCTCAACTGCCCGGTAAGAGTGTTTCCAGTTAAGTGTGGGGGGGGGGGGCGCGGCGGGGGGGATGCTGCTGTTGGTTTCTGCTATGTTAAGATCCTTCATGCTCAGCAATAAGAAGGACAATA